AACATTTCTCCAAGCCCCCTTTTGTGCCAAGTGCTCAGTTGTCAGCATTCAACATTTATTAATTGGAGTGCAGTCTTGTGATTCCAAGTGCTGTGCCCCTTTCACTACCCCATGTGGCCTCTGCTCCCCATTGCTTGTCCCCAGCCTCCCTATTAGTCTTGCTTCGGCCCCCATCCTCACCCCCAACTCCTCACCTCCCTGGCATATTCCTCTTGCTCAGTCCCCACAGGTATGACCACCACCTGGAATGGTGACAGCCATAGTGGCCTGATTGAGAGAACAGAGGAAGGCAAATTATTTATCCTGGCTCAGACCCCAAGTGTGGATGCAGGGAGCAGATTCTAGAAGGAAACAGAAGCTGGAGTCTGAAGGGAGCCAGGATGTGGAGCACGCACTACCTGGCTTGAGGGCCAGAACAGGAATCGGGGGTCAGAGGTCTCACCATTTTCCCCCGCAGTTTTCTGCCAGCACTCCCAACATCCTTTCCACAGAACCTAGCACTGCTCGATGAATGAGGACTGGACGCTCCAGGGCCCCCGCCTGCCTTGGAGGGAAAGGGGAGGGGGGGGTGGATGGAATGGAAAAGTGTCACACAATGTGCACCCAAGATCACCTTCCAGTTTCCAAGAATCTTCAGCCCTGGCAAGGGAGGGTGTGGAGGATGTGGTTTAGTTTTTAGGGTCAAAGGCAGAAAGGGAAGTTGTTCTCCACCTATTCCACGGGCCAAGGGAAAAGGGGACAGGACAAGGTTCTATACCCCTTGTACTGGAGGTCAAATCTCAGGGGCAGTTGGAAGTCAAGCTGGATTGTCCCACACTGATGGGGCCGACCCAGGGCATCGTGGAGGTGCACGTCAATCTGGAGGAGACAGAAGTGAGGACATGAAAGAAACCAGAACCAGTATCCTCCATTATGCATGCCACCCCCTTCTACCTAGCCACATCCCAGGCTGTGTGGAGAGACGTGTCACCCAGCTGCACCGTGCTGTCCATCACTCGCTGCAGACTCTGGCGGTGGCTCTTTCCACTTAATAGTGGTGTATTATTAAGGAACATCAACATTCACATGAATGGCCCATCCTCACCCTGGCCTCTCAATTCCTTGAGTTCCTCATCTCAGAGACCTTCATCTGCGCCCACACTATGGCTACATCCTTCATGCTGTCATCGCCCAGAATGGCTGCACCTCTGAAACAGTCCATCAGACACCTGCTCTGATTACTATCTCTTGTCCTTCCAGCTCTGACAATTATTCCTATTAATGGCTCTTCAATCTCTCGGCTCCTTAACTCCTCATTTTTCTTCCCATTCACAGGCCTCTCAGCCTCTCCCACCCCTGTGTCTTTCCCCATGCAGCTCTAACTGCTCTCCCTGGTTCCCTGGTATCACTGTTCTTCTGTCACATCCACATGACAAAACCCCACCCTGGTGGCACCCTAGCCTCCCACCTCCTTGGCCCTGGAAAAGAAGTGCCCAGTGCTGCCCAACACGCCACACACCACACAGACGCAAAAACAGCGATTGATGCAAGTTGCTGTTGTGAACCTCAATTGAACCCTTGCTGCTGCCTGCAATCCTCTGGCTGCCCTAATCAGCTTTGCGTCCTGTTCTCCTCAAGGATTTTCAAGCTTTCTCCTCTCTTCCCATCTTCAACCCCCACACTGACAACTCTCCTATTCCCCACTCCTATCTCAGCAAATAATCCTGCCTCCCATCTCACGGAGAATTCTGATAGTTGGTATCACGAGATGGGAAAATGTCTCAACTTCTGTCAGCACACCTATAAATATCCTGGCACCTACCCCCAAGCCTTTCCTTCTACCTGCTAAACAACAGCACAGGTGGTTCTTTCTGTGGAGGGCTCTGGATCCCAACCCTCAAGACTCCCCAGAAACTTTCCTCTACTGAAACCCCTTCTACAACTTCGACTTCTCCCTGACCCAAACAGGCTCCCTCTCATCACAGCATTTAAACATTCTCAAGTCTCTCCCTTCATCAACATCTCTTTGGATCTGCCAGCTACTCTCCTTTGCCTTTATAAGAGCCAATGTTCTTGGAAGTGTTAGGTTCATTCATTCACTTCTGACTCCATGTCCAGTCCCCGCTTTACTGAAAAATGGACCCTCAAAACCTAACAGCCTTTTCACTAAATCCAGCAGACACTTTACAGTCCTTTTTCCCTGACTTCCTTCACCTCCTCCAACTTTGCCATGTGAGTTTTTACTCTTCGCCCCAGCCTCTGCCTACAACGTTCCCTCCTTTTTTTTTTTTTTTTTTTCTTGCTGTACGCAGGCCTCTCACTCCTGTGGCCTCTCCCATTTGCGGAGCACAGGCTCCGGACGCGCAGGCTCAGTGGCCATGGCTCACAGGCCCAGCTGCTCCGCGGAATGTGGGATCTTCCTGGACCGGGGCACGAACCCGTGTCCCCTGCATCGGCAGGCGGACTCTCAACCACTGCGCCACCAGGGAAGCCCCCAACATTCCCTCCTGAAGCACCTTTT